GAGTTTGGGGTTAGCAGATGCAAACTATCACACACAAGATGGATAAACAAGGTCCTACTGTATAGCACAGGGAACTATATTCAGTATCCTGTGATAAACTATAGTGGAGAAGAATATGAAAAGACTATATATATATATATGTATAACTGAGTCACTTGGCTGTACAACAGAAATTAGACATTGTAAATCAACTATAAAATGTTTTTTAAAAGGGAGAGTGTGTAAGTCTGCCTGCCCGGCAGAGACGGGTGATAACACTCAAGGGTAGGCAAGTCAGGACAGAGGAAATCGGAAGTCTAAAAGACTACTGCCAATTTGGGAACAGCCTTCAAACCAGAAATTCAAGTGAAGTGCCCAAACACCTGTCTGTGTGCTGGGGCTTGCCTTTGATACTGAGGTTCTACAGGATTCCTAGCTAGGGAACTTTTAATAGACCCATGTGCCCAGGACTCCAATCCAAGTCAAATCACTCCCAGTCACCAGGATTTAGACACTGAGTGTAAAAACGCCCCCAGGTGATTCTAACACCCGGTCGACCAATCCAGTAGCTGCCGGCCACGTTACTGAGTGCCCGAAATGTGAGCCCAAACTGAGATGTGCTGAATCAAACACAAAACGAATCTGAAGACTCGGTAGGAGGAAAAGAATGTAAAATACCCCATTCATAATTTCCACAGTGATTACGTGTTGGGATCGTTATATTTTGGATGTGCGTGCTCAGTCGTGTTTGACTCTTTGCAGCCCCATGGACTGCAGCCCGCCAGGCTTCCCTGTCCATGGGATTCTCCAGGCACGAGTTCTGGAGCGGGCTCTCATTCCCTTCTCCAGGGGATCTTCCCAACCCAGGGATCGATCCCCCATCTCCTGCACTGCAGGCAGATTCTTTACCGCTGAGCCACTGGGGAAGCCCCACAGTTTGGATACATTGGGCTAAATAAAATGAAAATAAATAAATGAATTTCACCTGTTTATGTCTTTAGGGTGGCTAAGTAATCTAAAAATGACACAGGTGGCTTCTATTCTGTCTCTATTGGACAAGCCAGGGTTAGAAGCCCTAAGTGTCAATGAACGTTGATCTTTATAAGATTTCATTTCCACAGAGGCACTATGTCACTGACCTGAAAAATTAAACTTATGAACAGTTCAGCGCCTGCTGCTCCCCCTCCACAGCTCCGCCCTCCCAGAAAGCCCCGAACTCCTGACCCTCCCACCCAGGCATGATGCTCTTCTTCCCCATCCCGCCCGGCATTCTCTTGTCCTGACCTTAAAGAAGCTTTTGGGCTCTGACTCCATTTCCTGCAAGGGAAAGAGAGGTCCAGAGAGCCAATGTGCTCATAAACAAGGAAGAAAACAAGCTTGGGGTTTAGCATTTCTAGGACTCCCATCTGCTGAGCCGTCACCCATGCTAGGCCTTAAAGATGGGTCTCCTCTCTATTGGAAGGTCTGAAATAAATTGTAAAGCTTTTGGGGGAGGTGGGGGCAGGGAGAAAGAAGGCTATCACTGACCACTTGCAGAACTCCATACTACATGTTTTGTGTTCTGATGGTATTCGCTGCCTATTGCTCCTGTTAACAAATGACCACAGTGGGCTAAGTGGTTTAAAACAACACAAACGTGTCATCTTACACTTCTGGAGGTCAGAAGTCCACAATGGATCTTAGGGGCTGAAATCAAGATGCCTGCTGGGCCGCGTTTCTTTCTAGAAGTTCTCTGAAAAAATCAATTTCTTGGCCTTTTCCAGCTTCTAGAGGACACTCACACTCCTTCAGCTTTAAAGCCAGCAATATCCCATGGCGTCCCCCTCACCACACATCACCCTGACCTCCCCGTGACCTCTTCCACATTTAAAGGTCCTATAATTACACTGGGGCCACCTGGCTAACCCAGGCCAAGCCCCCTCTTTTTAAGGTCCTCTGATTAGCACTGTCTTACCCAGGACTGTTAAGATATTCACGGGTTCCAGGAATTAGGACATGGACATCTTTGGTGGCGGCAGGGGTGGGGGGCCCTCTTTAGCCCACCCCAACATTTCTAGATCTTAAAACAGCCCAAGAGGTAGATGGAATTATCTCTATTTTTACAGACCAGGAAACAGGAGTTAAGCATCTTGCCCAGAGACACAGGTGCACCGACTTTCGGTGATACCGCACCACCTTTGAAACAAGACAGGTGATTTTCAGGTTCAGAACACGGGTATGCTATATTCCACAGTATCCTGTATTCAGAATACTACAACAACAAAACGCCCATACAGTTTTGTCATTTCCATTTTAAAAAGGGCTTTATCACCAAAGGGCCCATAAAATCTTGGGGAAGAATAGACCAGCTTTCTGCATGGCGCCCTGGGGATTAATATTCAGGCACTCACACACTGACATCACCTAACAACCACGAGTACCCACAACGTGAAGGATGCAGGACTGCCCTCCCTCCACTTTCCTGACTGGGCGGGGTTAGAAACCCTTTTGCAAAACAGGGTGTGGTCAGTCACATTTTTCCTCTTCTTGACCCATAAGCCCAGGAGGAATAGCGAGGCTGGCAGGATGGTGGGGAAATGTGTTCTAAGGAAGCAAAATGCCCCTCTGCTACACGGGGTGCTGTGGCCAACAAGGAGACCCAGGCAGTGCATTCTGAAGGCAAGGCGTGTCCGAGGGCTAGATGCACTATTTTCTGTTCAGAAGGAGACCTGTAAGCAGCAGCTTCGGCTCTCCATGTCCTTTCCTCCAATGGGGCCCGGCTGGCAGCTCACTAGATATTTCTGGGAGTGATCTAATTAAATATTAACCATGCACAAAACCTTATTCCTGCATCTCTCAATAAGTCATTCTGAAGACAAATCTAGACACTGAACCTGAACTCCATCTTTCCAGAAAAAAAAAAAAAAAAGAGCCCTGGAATGGGTAAAGCCCATGAGATTCACCTATTAGAAAGAATTCATGATAAGTAACCCTCTCGGCCTCTGAGAAAAAACCAAGCAGCAAGAACAAAACACCCTCTTGTTTACCAAACCAACCATCAAAATATGTGGTGCTATATCAGGGACTTTCTTTGACATTCAGGAAGCTTGCCCTTGATTTATCACAATTTAAGAATAAGATCAATGAACTCAGCCCTTTAATTTCATCTCCTCTATGTAGCAATCTGGCCTCTTTATACCTTCTCAAAAGCATGAAAGAAACTAAAAATCAGCGAATGAATAACATCTGACAACAACCAGATTCTCTCTGCCAATTAAATTTTTCTCCCCATCCTTCTGCAAGTTCCTGGCACAGTTAATTATGCATTAATGACTTTATATTAAATGCCATATTTGTTTTTATGATGGGCTATCTGGGCTGAAAATATACCAGGGGCCGGATGGTGATGATCACAAGGATAAATTAATAATTTGTGGCTAGGTTGGTTCAGCACTAGGCTTTCCTAGAGCCAAGGTTTTATTATCATTTTCCTTGTTAATCTCAAGCACAAAGGTTAGATGTTTCCTCTGCATTTTCTCTTACTTCAAAGCGAAAGTTGTTGTAGGCTGCATGTACTAACTTGATTTGAAAGACACCTCAGAAGTTGTTGCTCCTACAGGGAGAGACAGGGAGAACCTTGCTAATAATGGTAGACACAAATGTCACCACTGGGCTTCAGACAGGGTTAAGTTCAGTCCTTTTAGTTCCTTTCTTTTTCTGGCCTACTCTTGGAGGATCTTAGTCCTCCAACCAGGGATGGAACTCCTGCCCCCTGCATGCAGGGCACAGAGTCTTAGCCACTGGACCGCCAGGGGAGTCCACAGCTTATTTCGAAAGAAAAACTTTCTGTTGTGTCAGTCCTGGTTAACTTACTTTGGCAAATAAAGAAGTAAGCTCCCCCCACCCCCACCCAGGCAGAACACCACCTCAGTGTTTGTAAAATAAAAAGGAACAGAAAACCAGAAAGAGCAACACCCTCATCACTGTGGTCTCAGCCATCATCAGTGTGGTCTCAGCAGTGACACATGGACAAATACACACCCACTGCCATTGTTTCATTTTTAAAATAATCTTCCCAGGATAGGCCACCCTCAGGAAGAGATGCCTGAGCGTGGGAAGTGCAGGAAGGGAACCCTAGGAAGTTTCTGTCAGGCGCCGGCATTTAATAAGGGGGTGTGAACCTGTTTATATGTGGGCCAATGGCTCGGGCAAACAAGTCTGGCTACATACGTGAAACTTTTCACCCAGCAGATAATAAGATATTGTGCGGCCCTGGAAAACAACTCAGGAGGAAAGGAAGCAGTGAGTTTCCTTGAAGGAAATGCATTGCTTCTCTGAAGAGGCGGCATTCTTTTAAGGCGTGGAAAAAGGTGGCCGGAGCCCGGGAGAGGCGGCGCTGCGCGGCCAGGGTGGAGAAATCCACTCGGACCAACCCGGGCTGGACGCACCCGGGCCTGGAACGTACCTTGACCCACCTGGCCCACCGCCGCGTCTCGGCCCCCTCTACCTGGATCCCCTTCCGCCACCTCGGCTCCCGGCCACCTCGGTCCCCGGCCGCCTCAGTCCCTGGACACTTTGGTGCCCTGGCCATCTGAGGTCTCCAGCCGCCTCTCGGTCCCTGGGCACCCGAGGTCCCCGGCCGCCTCTCGGTCCCTGGACACCGCTGTCCCCTGGCCATCTCGGCCCCCGACCCTATCTCAGTCCCTGATTACCTGGCCGGTTCCCGGGCCACCTGGGCCCCTCGGTCGCATCTCAGTCCCCGGCGGCATCTCAGCCCCGGCCAACCCAGCCCCCCGCGCCGCCTGTGGTCCGGGCGCCGGCGCGCGCTTCCGGTTCACCTGCGCCCGGGGCGGCGGAGGCCGGGGAGCTGGGGTGGCCGTGACCGAGATGCAGCCAGGGGAACCCAGGCGGCCGGGAGCGAGGGGCCTGGGGCGCCCCGGGGACGGGCGCAGGCCGGGTTCGAGGGATGTGTGTGAGGGGAAGGGGAGAGGGCGCCGTCCGCACGCCCGCCAGCCCGCCCGCCCGCGGCCCCCGCCGCTCGCCTGGGTCTTGTCGAACTGCTCGCGCTCGGCCTCCAGACTGTGGCCAGGCCTGCGGTTCAGCACCCGGGCCGGCACGTTCTTGATGCTGTTCATCCTGCCGCCGCCTGCGCTCCCGGGCCGGGCTCCGCTCGACTGAGCGACCCAGGCCGGCCGCCCGCCCAAGCCTAGGCACCGCGAGGCCGCCCGCCGCACGGCAACGCCCGCCCTTAGGGGGAGGAGCTTGCTGTCGTCCCGCCCCGGCCCCGCCCCCGGTGGGGTGCGCTGGCACAGGCCGCAGCGCTCCGGGCCCCTAGCCCCTCCACGCCTCTAGTGTGCGAGCGGAAACACCCGTCTCTCCTCAGTCTGCACACAGCCTCCACCCCGACTCACTGAGCCCTGTCCGCATCAGGCCAGGATCTGGTTAACTGGAGAAAACCTGGCCTTAATGAAACCTGGCCAAGGGAAGGACATCTAGACACTTTTTCTTTCATTTTAAACAGGCCTCTATTACTTTTATGTGGCAGTCCAGTTCAGTCGCTCCGTCGTCTCCGACTCTTTGAGACCTCATGGACTGCAGCACGCCAGGCCTCCCTGTCCACCCTACCACCTCCCGAAGTTTACTCAAACTCACGTCCATTGAGTCGGTGATGCCATCCAACCATCTCATCCTCTGTCATCCCCTTCTCCTCCCATCTTCAATCTTTGCCAGCATCGGGGTCTTTTCAAATGAGTCAGCTCTTCGCATCAGGTGGCCAAGTATTGGAGTTTCAGCATCAGTCCTGCCAATCAATGTTCAGGACTGATTTCCTTTAGGATGGACTAGTTGGATCTCCTTGCTGTCCAAGGGACTCTCTTCATGTGTCAAAGGCATACAATTGAGCTGTCTACTCTCTGTGCATCTCTAATGTAACTGCATGTGTGCACACTCAGTCGTGTCCAACTCTGCGCAACCCTAGGGACTGAGGCCCCTTAGGCTCCTCTGTCCATGGGATTCTCCAGGCAAGAATACTAGAGTGGGTTGCCATGCCCTGCTCCGGGGGATCTTCCCAACCCAGGGATCAAACCGCTCTTACTTCTCTTGCATTGGCAGGAGTGTTCTTTATCACTAGTGCCACCTGGGAAGCCCAGGTGTAATGTAACTGCAGCTGTAATCAGTTTCATTACATGTCATGTGGGATGACTTTTCAGAGACCTAGGAGCTGAGAATGGGACCGGGAGAGGCAGGGCTGGGACAGCCTGGAGACAGCTCTGGACTGACCCAGAGCTGGGCCATCAGAAAGCATGCAGCAGATGCCACAGGAAGTGGTGTGAGTCTTTTTTTTTTCTTCTTCTTTTTTTTTAATATTATTACTGGTTTGCTTTTAAAATTACCGGTCACAAAATTTAAGTGTTTTTTTTTCTTTTTAAATCACAGGTATGCTCTCAAATGGTTATTTTGTTTCTGCTAGCCTAAGCTTTCCTCTCAGAGTATAGGTGTGAAATCACCCAATACTAAGGACTCCCCTTGAAGTGGGAAGGTGATACCTACATAACCCTGAACGTTGTTTGCTGGACCCCTTCTGTAACCTCACTGGTTCTTCACTGTCTAGTCTCGGAGCTGACACTGGGAACTTGAAAGATGTATTTAACAAGGCTTTCCTCTTACTCCTCTATAAGAGGAAATAACCCAGCTTTAATCTAATTCTAATCAAAGAAAATCTTCTTTACAATAAAATAACAATGGCTAATATTTGGGCTTCCCTGGTGGTTCAGACAGTGAAGAATCTGCCTGCAATGTAGGAGACCTGGGTTCCATCCCTGGGTTGGGAAGGTCCCCTGAAGGAGGGCGTGGCAACCCACTCCAGGAGTCTCGCCTGGAGAATCCCCAAGGACAGAGGAGCCTGGCAGGCTGCAGTCCTCGGGGTTGCAAACAGTAGGACACAACTGAGCGACTAAGCACAGCTAACATTTACTGAATGCTTAGTATTTGCTAGGCACTAGGCAAAACCCTTTGCATGTATTACTTCATTTTAACCCTCAGCCCCTAGTCAATAGCTGTGGTGGAAGAAGGCCTGCAGGAAAGGGATTTGCAGGCTCCAGACCAGCTGTTTCTCAAACACCTTTTTCCACATTCAACAAAAGCATGTATTATGTGATGCATCTTCTTTTAAACCAGGCAACACCCTCTCTGGGTTTAGAATGTCTGCCACAGGGACCTGGGACTTCCCTGGGGGCCTAGTGGTTAAGACTCTGAGCTCCCAATGCAGAGGGCATGGGTTCGATCCCTGGTCAGGGAACTAAGATCCCATGCGCCACGTGGCACAGCCAAAAAATAAATTAAAATAAAAAAGCAATGTCTGCCACAGGGACTAAACATCAGCAACCAACTACCACTCCCATCAATAATAAAGGGTTGATAACTGTGCCAGGAGCTGTGCTCAATACTGTTGGGATCCCAGAGTATTTTGTTAAAGACATCTCTACTGAATTGTGATTGATCCGTTTGTAAGAAAGATATTTGAGCAGCTGGAGGACAAGGACCACCCTGTCTTACTAAGTGTTTTTTAGTTATTTTTGGTCACATAGTACAGACTGTGCAATCTGAGTTCCCTGATCACTGGAACACCAGGGAGTTCCCTGCCTTACTCAGTTTTATCCTGGTGGTGCCTAGCAGGGTGTCTGGTGCATTAGCAACATCCAGCAAAAATGTGTGTGGAATGAAGGAGTTGAAAAAGTGAATACAGAGTTCCCCGTAACTTGGCACATCAACATACGGCTTAGTTTTATGAAAGAGCATTCCTGTGGACACAAGGACACAATCTTCCCCACCCTCAATTTGTCAGGTTCCTCAGTGAGAACACCTTCAGGCAGGAGACCTGATTCTAGAACTGGCTCTGTCACTATTTGGCTGAGATTCTCCTTGTTGCGTATCTCCAGTGCTGTTTAATGCTTCCCCTGGGCCATTACAAGGGCAAAGCATTTAGGATATTGGATATTTAGGAGCATTTAGGATAACTCAGACCTGATTACAAGGAAAACCAAGAAAACACTGGACTTACTAAATGATGGTGCTGCAATTCCCACGCTGCCTCATCGACATGTGTCTCATTCTGGTGTCCCAGCCTCCCTTTCCTGCTTCATCTTGCTCCATCCTAGTCCATCAGGTCAGAAAATGTATCACACTCCTTTCTACCTCAGGGCCTTTGCACATGCGGTTACCATTTATCTGGAATGCTCTTTTTATTCCTGTTTGCCAGTCAGCATCTACTCATCTTTAGTCTTAGTTCAGATGTCACTTCCTCAGGGAAGCCTTCCCCGAACCCTCTACTCTTGACCTATGCCCCTATTTTATGCTGACATAGTAGCTCAAAGCTGTATTTTTTGTAGCATTTACCAGTTTTTCACAACTTATTTGTGATTATTTGATTAAGATCTGTCTCTTCCACTAGATGGGTATCCCTGGTGGCTCAGTGGTAAAGAACCCACCTGCCAAATCAGGAGACATGGGTTTGCTCCCTGAGTCAGGAAGATCCCCTGGAGAAGGAAATGGCAACCCACTCCAATATTATTGCCTGGACAGAAGATCCTGGGGGGGCTACAGTCCATGGGGTCACACAAGAGTTGGACATGACTTAACAACTAAACAACAACTTCCACTAGACTGTAAACAAAGATTGAGTCTGCTTTGCTCCCTGTTGTGTCTGCAGTGGCCAGCAAAACAATACTTAATGCGAGCTCAAATTATTTTGTCTTTTTTTGCTAGGCCTCTTAAGCATGCATTTGGCTGAGGACCCAGAAATCATCATTTACAGGACTGACTAATGTGCCCTCATTTGATGAAGTTCTCTCAAAGAGCATTCTGATTTTTAACCTACCTTGTCAGCTGTGGTTCTGATTAATGCGTCTGGTTTCTTAATCTGACTGTATTCATTGTTCTGTAGCATGTATGAAGTGGTTACTATGACGATTCTGTTTGGCCCAGAATAATGAAATTTTTTGAAATGGACCCCAAAAGAATTGTCATCATATGGCTCAAGAGAAACAAAGATGCATGGCTTTGAAACAGCCACTGTAGCTACTGGTATCTAACCAGAGAAGGAAAATCTCAGGTCAAGGTCACCAATAACAATTCCAGAGTCAATTAGCCATGGTATACAAAAAGTTCTGGGCCTTCCCTTGTGGCTTAGATGGTAAAGAACCTGCCTGCGAACGCAGAAGAACCAGGTTCAATCTCTGGGTCGGGAAGATCCCCTGGAGAAGGAAATGGCCACCCACTCCAGTATTCTTGCCTGGAAAATCCCATGGACAGAGGAGCCTGGTGGGCTATAGTCCATACTGTCACAGAGTCAGACACGACTGAGCGATTAACACACACACAAGGTTCTAAATCTCAGCCACGTCTCCTGAAATAAACCAAACTTACCCCATAGTGACCCTCAATACTTTGCATTCTATTAGCACTTTTTAGGTAAAACTTTTAAAGTATTATCTTGTATTCAGAATTTCAGTATTATCTTTATTCAGAATTTCTTTCTTTTGGGTTATTTCTACTTAATAGATCTGTTCACAAACTATAAAAATACAGGTCCATCAGTCTCTTTTGAAGGCTGAGATAATTTCTGGCAAGCAAATTATAGTACAATTCAGTTGCCTCCTTTTTTGGCCACTCTGCATGGCCTATGGGATCCTACTTCCCCGGTTCAGTTCAGTCGCTCAGTTGTGTCTGACTCTTTGTGACCCCATGGACTGTAGCACGCTAGCCTTCCCTCTCCATCACCAACTCCCGGAGCTTGCTCAAACTCAAGTCCATTGAGTTGGTGATGCCAACCATCCTCTGTCGTCCCCTTTTCCTCCTGCCTTCCATCTTTACTAGCATCAGGGTCTTTTCAAATGAGTCAGTTCTTCACATCACATGGCCAAAGTATTGGAGTTTCAGCTTCAGCATCAGTCCTGCCAATGAATATTCAGAACTGACTTACATTTAGGATTGACTGATTTGATCTCCTTGTAGTCCAAGGTTCTCTCAAGAGTCTTCTCCAATACCATAGTTCAAAATCTTCAATTCTTCGGCGCTCAACTTTTTTTTATAGCCCAACTCTCACATCCATTCATGACTACCGGAAAAACCACTTCCCCAACCAGGAATCAAACCCTCACCCTTGGCAGTGAAAACAGAGAGTCCTACCCACTGGACTGCCAGGGAATTCCCCTCTCAAGATGAAAAATGTTGATGACAAAATATAAAGGCTGAAATCTAGTTTTATCTTGTAACCAAAGGCTGCCTCTCTTTCACAGAAATTGCTTATGGACTTAAATAACTAGGGTTGAGAGAGATAAATTGATAATACTAAGGTTTCCATTTTTGAAATGCATGTACTGTAATACACAAGAATGTGGATGGGTAAGAATAGGTATGGGTAGATACTATAACTCTATAAGCTAAAAGACATTTAGTTACAAAACAACTGGACTTTTCTCAAATCCTTCAGGTCCCTGAAATTGTTCTTAGCATCTCATCAGTGTTCTCTCTTTTCACTAGGTAAGCTGACGTGCAGCCGTGAACCTATCATGAAGAGAAGGAGAAAATTTAATATTTTGTTTCTCAGACAGAAAGTCGGCCTCTCCAGGGACATTTTGGGTTTCTAACTTGGAGGCAATGGTTCACAACCGACTATACACAGTACCTTTCTCAGTTTTGCCCTGTATAAACCAGCCTAGCCTGGAGGAAAAAGCAAGCATTTATAAAGAACATAGCCAAACTTCACCCAATTTCTCTTTTCAGCACCCTCATTAAAAAGGCTAAATGGGGTGGCTCCTCCACTCTCATGAAAATCATCTCTGAAGTAGCACTGAAACCTTTTAACAAAGGGTCATTGATACAGCACAACAGAACTTTGATATCGGCAATGCTTTAAAAAACGACATTCCCATTCCTCAGGAAATTAACTTGCCAGGTTTGGTTTCAAGAGAGTAACCTTCCTTATTTCGCTCCTGTGTCAGAAAAAGAAACCCCAAAAAACTATTTTTATTATTAAAAATATTTTTTATTGACTGAAGCTGATCATTATATTCTTTAAAAAATTAAATTACTTTACAGGTTAAAACAGAAGTTTCAGTCTTCAAGGATAAAAAAAAATGCATATAAAACTTGATCTTCCAGCGAGCTTTGGTTTGTATAAGTTGATGGGACTACAACTGATCCAGACAAGAGGGAGCTCTGCTCAGCTTTTGGGACAGAAGGAGCCTCGACTGTCAGTAACCCAAGAGATAGTCTGCAGTTAGAAAGGTTTTATATCATATCACTTTATGGCTATTTACAAAGCCAAGTTCAGGGCTAAAACTACAAGGGAATACTATTTCTCATATATTTGGAGCTGACACTGATAAGCTACTGGCTATAATGTAAATGTATGCACAGGTTTAAAAAAATCAGATGGCTAAAACAGCATTTTTTTATGCATGGATTCTCCATTTGATGTTCACACTTTTAAAGAGATTCTGGAGTATTTAACCAGAGTCAGCATCTTTATAGAGAAGGCTTTTTCTCTCTTAGCATAAATTCCAAGTTGGCATATGACATACAATATACAATTAGGTCTCATTTCTTACACATGAAAAATATGTCTTCCACATGAAAATGGCTAACCTGAAGACAAACAAGATATACATGTTTAAAAATTAACTTTCGGTTTCAGCTCCCCTTTGGTATTAGATGTTGCTTACAAAGGATTACTGTCCTTTTTTTGTTTTCAAGGCTAAGTATTAGGTATGGATGTCTGCTTCCTGCCTTCCACATGGATGAGAAATCAGCTTCTGTGGGAAGGAAACAGAGTTAATCAAATCAAAATCAATGAGCACTGGATGGTGTGCGATAAGCTCCCAGCTTCTAAAAAAAATGAACTATACAGTCTTGATTCTCAACAACATAAGGTCATGCAACTATTATAAATATGAAGACTTCTCAGCAAAGGGAAAGAAGACAGGGAGAGAGGGCTGCTTATGCTTGGTGCGTTCACAATCCTAAAAAATGTTCTTATGCTTAAGTGGAAAACAACTGAGATGATTTTATATTTTAACTTATCAAACTGGCTTCTAAAGAAACTTGGCATAGGACATGAAGGTTTGATAGAAGAAAACACAAATCAAGAAAGTGCTTCCTGGGTCAATAAGCCTTTTTTAGAAGACTCAAAACCCTATGGAAAGACTTCTTTCCAGACATTCGGATGAAATGCTGACATGGGAGTTTGAAAGCTATATGCATTCACTTCTTTAGGCTTAAAATTCTAGGTACTGAGAACAAGAACTTTTTGATCTGCATTTTTCTTACAAGTAACTGACATTTGACTCTGATTAAATTTAGAAGGTATGTATAAATAGGTCAGGCAAAGAGAAAGGACTACAGGTCAAACTCATTGCCGTGCTTCTAGATTATCAATGTTCCCAAGTTACTTATTAAATATAAATATAAGGTGAGATAAGGAAGGTGACTTACCCATGATCACGATGAACATGAAGTTGACTTTTGTTTTCTTCAGTTACTGAGAGGGGTATTTTTTTCAGCTGACTCTTCAGAGACTTCCATATTCTACAAAACAACTCCCAAATGAGTACCCAGGATAGAACAAGAAAATACTTAGGAGGACAATACACAAATACAGCAGAAATGCCTTTAAAAGATCTTAGGGAATTAATGAAATACAATGAAGCAATTTCATACAACCATCATCTAGCCAGCCAACAAAGATGGACTGATTTCCTGCTCATGTGTGGGGCCCCTCTGTCTCTAAGCCTGCAGTTGGAATGTTCTATTTGCTTTACTGTGTGCATGTTATGGCTAAACCCTGGGAGTCAGCTAATGCCCAAATATAACTGGCTCTCTGTCAGCCTTAATATAGACTCTGCGGTGAGCCTGCAGTGAGGACAAGGGTCATCAATAAGATTCCACAACTCTGAGCGATGCTTTAATTCAGCACGGTGCCTACTGAGGGCGCAGCATGGTTAGGTTTTGGGGAGATATTAAAAAAGAAGGAAAGAAGATGAGGAGGATACTTGGAGAGAAACTGGTAGACCCCAGTGGTGAACCTGGGCTTGCTCAGCCGCCTCATCTTCCCACAGGGCCAACCTTTGAGCCATGTTAGGGTTCTTCTTGGTGCTTCCAGACTGCTGGACTCAATCACGCTGCTTCCTCTCTGCTGGGATAGCCTTCCTATGTATTTTACAATATGATGTATTTTTCTTCATTATTCTAGAGGGGACTTCCCTGGTGGTCCAGTGGTTAAGACTCCACACTTCCACGCCTCGCGGCACAGCCAAAAATAAATAAATGAATTTTTAAAAGTGATACTAAAATAAAATTTAAAGGATGATTCTAAAATGAATCCATAGGCTTTACCAGTCTGCCACGGAAAAGGTTAAGAACCTTGACAGGTAATCCCAACAGCTGCCAACTACTGATGAAGAGACAGTCCTGTGTTCGGGTCAAAACTCCAACTTCAGTTTCAGGCTGAAACTGAAACCCACCCCACCCCACAGGAGGCCTGCTGCTGTCTCACTGTGCTGTCTCACTCATTCCTTTTTTTCCTCTATTTTTAAATTAATGTTTTTTAAAGAGCATGGTTTGAATATATATACATAGATAGATTCCTGTTCCCACCTCTTACGTAGAATACCACATGAACCTTTCAGGATCCTGTTTCCTTTTACTCACTAGTACATCCTGAAAAAGACCCTGATGCTGGGAAAGATTGAAGGCAGGAGGAGAACGGGATGACAGAGGACGAGATGGTTGGATGGCATCACTGACTCGATGGACATGAGTTTGAGCAAGCTCTCAGAGTTGGTAATGGACAGGGAAGTCTGGCGTGCTACAGTCCATGGGGTCATAGAGAGTCAGACACGACTGAGCAACTGACCTGAACATCCTGGAAACATCTCCACACCTAGGACCTTCCTATTCTGTCTCAGGGTAATATTCCATCAGGTGGACAGGCCACAGCTCTTCATTCAGCTCCTTCTTGCTGGACACTTAGATCAGTTCCTAACTTTGGCTGTTATAAAGCAATGCTGCCATGGGACTTCCCTGCGGGTCCAGTGGGGCTAAGACTCCACACTCCCAATGCAGGGGGCCTAGGTTCAATCCCTCATCGGGGAATCTAGATCCCACATGCTGCAACTAAGAGTTCGTGTGCCACAACTAAGATCCAGTGCAGCCAAATAAATGAATAAGTAAAAATAAATATTTTTTAAATAATAATATAAAAATAAAGCAAGGCTTCCATGAAAACTTGTCCGTATACCATTTTACATACACACAGTTCTATGTGAACAAGACAGTCCCAAAGTGATGCTGTCAGGGCAAGTTTTAGACAACATCGACGGGTTCCGTGCCAGGAGGACGGAAGCACTTTGTGCTTCCCCAGCAATGTGAGAGTGCCTATTTCAGAGACAGGCTTTCAATTAAGACCCTTGTCTTTCGCGACAGATGGCAAAATCCTGGGGAAGCTGAAAGGCTGCTCAGAACTTATCCCGCTTCCTTGCTGCAAAAATTAAGAATTTTTTACAAAATTATTTACTTTTTGTGTAACCAGCAATACTCCACTCAAAGGACCAGAGCGGCAGAATTTGCAAAGTGTATTGCCAAGTAGATTTCTGTTAGTTAAATTTTGCTTTCCCAACATCTCTAGAATCAGTGAATAATCCACTGGAAAATATATTACATCTGAAAGCAGTATTTTTGCCAACTAAATGATTATCTGATTCTAGCTGTCGGATGTTAAGCAAGAGATTTAATCACTTTCCCTATCCTGTAAAAGGAGTGGATGTGATGAGATCTCTCTTCTGGATCTTGCCAGCTCAAAAATTCTCTTAAACCAAGTTTTCACCAAACTTGAATAGCTGTAGCATTTTTCTGTCTATACCTGTGGTCACCCTTCTGCATTCTTCCTGAACTCTCCTATCAGCTCCATTCACGGTATTTACCAAGCATACTCTGTAGCGGGTATGGCCTGTGCTACACCGGGGGGTTGGGGCTAGGATGAGTGATGGAGGCTCCTAAAGGTGCTAAAGCGGGAGCAGAGACCCTTGGATGTTCCCAGCTGTCATGTGCTGGGACACGCACTCTCTCTCTCTCTCTCTCTCTCTCTCACACACACACACACACACACACCCAGCATGGATGTTCCCAGCTGTCATGTGCTGGGACACGCACTCTCTCACACACACACACACACACACACACACACCCAGCGGTGCTATGAGGACAAAAGTGAGAGAGCTCCTGATTACATCTTAGGAATTAACACAAAACCCCAAAGAGGAGGTTAAGAGAAGAACCTGAGGCCACGAGGGTGAGTAGAAGCTGTCAGAAGGATGATTCTGAAGTATAGTCGGTTCTACTATGACACTTGTTTTGAAAACACGAATTTGTTCCAACTCATCTGATATATTCAAGAATGACCTGAGTTGTTTGTGTTTGTTAATGCACAATTTTTGTCCACAAGAAATCCTAGGTGAACTGGGCTGGGTCATGTAGGAATATACCCACCCCCACCTCCAGACCCCTCCAGCATCTACCAGCTCTCGCCCTGGGGGTGTCATGAAACACAGTCACACCTACTGCTACGACTTTCCATCCAATCACCCTCCTGCTACCACTTTCCAGTGAGCCACAGACTGCAACCTCTCCGACACCCAATTCTACCTGCAAACTTCAGGGCTTTTTCAGGGTAAAGTGCCACATTTATGGCAATATTTGTGTGTTTCTTAACTCTTTAACATGCATAAAGCTGTCCTACCATTTAAATGACCTTTAAAGTGTCCTTTAAAGATGTGTCACTGATAAAGGTTTTGAGGCTCCGCTCCAAACCCCATTTTCCCCATAAACTGTAAGGTTTTTGCTGTGCAGTTTTGCGTTGTGTGGTGATTGTTAGGAACCCATATGTTGCATTATCGCAGCTGTAGCTGTGGTTATCAGAATACTAAATAAGACTGTGACACAATAGTACATAGCCTTCTTTATCAGTGCGTTAAATAATAAGGTCTAGCAGCAGGCCTAATGGTCTGTAATTCTGACACAGCACTTACTGTAAATGATATTTCAAGATACCAGTAATAACTGCAATGTGGTAGGAATTATTTGTTATTTCTACGAATGAAAAAATCATAAGTAGCAGGTACGATGATGGCTTGTTTCCTATATTCATAACTGAAGGAAGTACTCTATTTCAATTAGAGATTCACAAAAATAACCTGATGTGTAATTTTTACTCCCCCCATCAAAATTTATGGATCTTCTAAATTCTATTCAACAAACTCTGATGAAAAATCTCTGCCCAACAAATCTGCGAGGACAGAAAGTAGATGAACAACAGCCTGAAGCAGAGGGGAAGTAAAATGGGGAGTAACTGCCAGTGGGTACAAGGTTCTTCTGGAATGACGAAAACGTTCTAAAGCTGGATCATGGTGACAGTTGCACAACTTTGTAAATATACTAAACCACTGAATTGTACACTTCTACATGGGGGAAGGTTGTGGATAGGTGAACTATACCTCAATAAATGCTGTTAAAAACTTTAAAAACTCTTATTAATACTTAAAAATGTTCTATCCCAATGTAAATAAATAATTTCACTGAGGCTGCAAAGATTTTGTCAAGAAAAAAATCTTCCTAGGAAATACCGACAACTCATATTTAAAATGGGCAAAGGACTTAAAGACACTTCAGGTTAGTGAAACAGTTACTGAAAACTTGGTTTAAAAGAATTTTTGAGCTGGAAAGATCCAGAAGAGCAATCTCATCACAACACTCCTTTCACAGGAGAGGGAAAGTTATTAAATCTCTTGCTTAACATCCCACAGCTAGAATCAAATAATCATTTAGTTGGCAAAAATACTGCCTTCAGATGTCACATATTTTCCAATGTATTATTCACTGATTCTAGTGGAGGTGATGGAATGCCAGTTGAGCTATTTCAAATCCTGAAAGATGATGCTGTGAAAGTGCTGCACTCAATATGCCAGCAAATTTGGAAAACTCAGCAGTGGCCACAGGACTGGAAAAGGTCCGTTTTCATTCCAATCCCAAAGAAAGGCAATGCCAAAGAATGCTCAAACTACCACACAATTGCACTCATCTCACACTCTAGTAAAGTAATGCTTAAAATTCTCCAAACCAGGCTTCAGCAATACGTGAACCATGAACTTCCAGATGTTCAAGCTGGATTTAGAAAAGGCAGAGGAACCAGAGATCAAATTACCAACATCCGCTGGATCATCAAAAAAGCAAGAGAGTTTCAGAAAAACATCTACTTCTGCTTTATTGACTATGCCAAAGCCTTTGACTGTGTGGATCACAATAAACTGTGGAAAATTCTGAAAGAGATGAGAATACCAGACCACCTGACCTGCCTCCTGAGAAATCCATATGCAGGTCAGGAAGCAACAGTTAGAACTGAACATGGAACAACAGACTGGCTCCAAATAGGAAAAGGAGTACGTCAGGCTATATATTGTCACCCTGCTTATTTAACTTATATGCAGAGTACATCATGAAAAACGCTGGGCTGGAGGGAGCACAAGCTGGAATCA